CCCCAAAACCCCAAAACCCCAAAACCCCAAAACCCCATTTAAATTATAATAACATAATATTATAATAATTATGGATAAAATCATTAGAAAAGTGAAATCTGTAAGGTACAATGTCTGGGAAGACTTCAAGAAATTCATGTCCCTTCCTGGATATAAATACTATAAATCACCCCCAGAACTAAAATTCAGGTATCCTGCTCCAGGAAGTGTCCCCAGAACTCAGGAAGATAAACCAGGTCTCTTCAAGGATGATTATAAGCTTGCCTACACTGACTCATTATATGATGTCAGAAGAAAGCCAAAATTTCCCCACCGATTTGGAGATGATCATGAATGGTATCACGTAGGGCCAGCGAAGAAAGAGCTTGATCCGAAAGATCCATATGATGCTCAAATCCTCAAAGGACCTATCAGGAATAGAAGACTTGTAGATGATAAAGCTACACACATCGACTCTAATAAAGTGTTGAGAACTAATAAAGATGAAGCGAGAGCACATTTGAGACATTTATTCGCTAGCGCAGCAGCTGAGCGACATGAGCGTCACGAAGAGCTTCTCGGTCACTCCCTCAACGAACTCGAAGACTACTACAGCCCCCAATACCTGTGGTTCTACGAACGCGGAGCCACCGGAACCGGAGACGACCCAGTCATCCAGCACACATACTTGTCGCTAGAAGACTTGCTTGAAGAAGTCCTCGGCAAAGAACGCATTGAGACACAGCAGATGGACATGTACAAAGGAACTGTCAAGAAGTGGCAGGTGCTTGACGACGAGCAGTTTACAAAGGACCAGGTAGACAAAGTGCAGAGTTCTATTAAGGCCCCAATATCAGACGAACTCAATCGATACGAGAAACAAAATAACATCAAACATCCTCTACCAATCAACAATGCTAATGCTTCCCAATGGAGAGACAAGAAGAGAGCAATTGACAGCGCTGACTTTAACTCTAAACTTATTGAATTTGAGCAAAACCGTCATGAGAATTACTTTATGAAGAGATATGAGAGACCAAAGAAGCTTGAATAATTCTTCTGAATATTGTGCAGATAGCAAAAGATTTCAATATTCTAGATTAAAAAAGGGGTTTTGGGGTTTTGGGGTTTTGGGGTTTTGGGGTTTTGGGG